AGCTAAATAAAGTAGCACAGTAAGCTACATAGTACATTCATTGGAAAAGTGAATGGACAGTATATCTTCAGAGTGCTAACAAAGCTAATCAAGTGGACTTATACAATGTTTTCAACGAGGAAACGCTGAGGAAAACCAGATAGCGCTCTGAGCTACCAGGCTGCTCAGAGTTCCCCGCTCATGGGCATCGACACTTTGCTCCAGTAGACAGTGACTGACGTAGACCCATCACAAAAAGTTCACCAGTTACCAGGTACTCGTTATTTTCCTGCTCATAAACTGAGTGAAACTACCGTTTGGTTTTGGGTCTCAACGTACACGAGCCACGCATCAGGCCTGCAACATTGTTTGAAGTGGTTTTGCCAGCTGTATGTGAGTGTTATAGTGTGGGCCCACTGATATTTGTTGCAGTTAAAGTGCATTTGTGGTGAACTGTGGTATTATCTTGCAACAGAACTACTAAATTACCGCAGATCTTGTGTGAAAGGAGGGATATTTGATTTATTGTATATTGCCCCAATTGTTGATTTAGCATTTATTTTATTTAATATTTTTCTAAATAATAAGAGACCTTCTTTAATCTTATACCAGAGTGGAGTATTTTATTTGAAAGCCAGTTATCATATTTGAGTTTCACATGTTGACTACAACGGAAGCTAAGATAGTTGACGCTGGGTTTCAGTGTTGATATTAAGAAATAATAATCTAAAAGAACTCAGGGCCCTGCCCAAACATACTTGCTAGACGGTAGGAGCGCTACATATAGAAAACCCTGTGGAAACTTGGACTTGGGGACAGGAGGAGCCAGGCCCGCCATCCACTCCAACCACCTCGTTACTGGATTGGTCTGTCTGGACCGAACGTGGAAGCGGCGTGATGGGAGACCACTAATCACTTCCTGTTTCCTACCAACAGTCAATTGTGGTGTCTTTTAAAGAGGTGGTATTCTGCTCATTTTCAGGTTCAAAATCTTATTTAGGGGTTGTACCAGAACAGGTTTACATGGTTTCATTTTCAAAAAACATCATATTTTTTGTCATACTGCACATTGCTGCAGCTCCTCTTTTCACCGTGTGGCTTCGTTTTAGCTATGGAGTGATACATCTTGTCTCTAAATGATCTTTGTTGGGAGTTGCACATGTGCAGTTCCTAGTTAAGGACTACTAGCCAATCAGAAGCAGAGAAGGGCGGGCCAATGAGAAGCCGGTAAACAGCTCGGGTTCAGCTGTACATGTTGCCGACCAGCTTGGCAACATGGACTGGAGCGAGAGTTTCAGAGCGGTGAGTTATTAATCTGTATCCATAAAGTTTTAACTGAGCTCTGTCTCTACATCACAGGAACAACTTTCTGTCCACTGACTGCCTGGAGGGTAGCTAGTGTTTGGAAGGGAGAGGAGAGCTGTGTGCTGCAGCTCGCTGTTTCTGAGGGCGTGTCGGAGTAGCCGCTTGGCGAGTGTTATATGAGGCGTATTTCCCTTTCATCCCTGTGACATCACAGGTATGAAAGGGAAGCAGCTGAACTACAAACGAGCTGTTTTCAGGCAGTTCAGAGCAGAGTTTTCTGTGGGAGATGGGAACTCCCTTTGGGCTGGACTTTGGGCTTTTTCACTTTGCAAACCTGTTACATGCACAAAAAGGGATATAACTCAATAAAGGAGAGGGAAAAAGCCAAAAAGCATAATACCACCTCTTTAAAGAAAAGGAACCATTTGGGAGATACGCTTATTCGCTATATTGCTAAGAGTTAGATGTTCAAACAGATACAAGGTACAAGGCCGATATGAGCTGATAACTTGTTTATAACACTCGATAAATGACAATTAAGAAAGAAGCAGAGAGACGAAAGACGGACCCTTCAATTATAATAGTTTGTCCACCTGCAACTCCTCTGTTTGCAGCACATGTTTAAATGTGACATGATCAGCTGTCCTTCTGTTCAAAGTCCTGTTTATTTCAATTAAAAAATATATATTTTTAAACTGCATTATGCATAATGTTATCTTGGTGAGCTCTCATAATTACGCAGAACAGATGTTAGGGATAATCTTTGTTCATGATATGTGTTGAAATATCAAAATAGGTATCGGTCTTAAAGTTACATATCAGGCAGGCTCAGTCTGTATGTAAATATGAAGCTAAAGCCTGCAGCCAGTCAGCTTAGCTTAGCATAAACAGGGGGAAACAGCTAGCTTGGCTCTGTCCAAAGCTAACCAAATCAGCTCCTCCAAAGCTAATGGATTAACCAGTTATATCTTGTTTGTTTCATCTGTACAAAAAACAAAGTGAAAAAACATGTTTTAGGCAGTGACTAACTGTTTTCCTGGCAACCTCACAATGGCTGCAAGACAAAAGGAAACAAAACAAGAAACAGGCCGTAAGGATAAATAAGCTAATGTAGCTTCATTTTTACCGTACATATATGGTGATCGGATTGCACTTGTATAGCTCTTTCATAGTTTTCCAACTACTCAAAGCACTTCACGCTACATGTCACATTCACTCATTAATACACTGATCAGAAACTAATGATGCACACAGCAATGGCACAGCCATTGGGAGCATGCAGACTGGAGGAGCCGGGGATCAAACCACCGACTTTCTGAGTCTCCTGAGTCTATACTAATTTAACTATCAACCAGAAATGTAATAAATTATTTCCAAAAATGGCGACACATTCCTTTAACCACATCATCAAAGGTCCCCTAACCATAACCAAGTTGTTTCTGTTCTTAAACCAGACCAGTGTAATTACTGTAACACTAATGTGTAAGAGTTTTGGAAGGCACGGACGAATAATGTTTGGTTCTGGAGGGAAATTACAAGCAATATATTTTGTTTGGAGAGCTTGAGTGTAGAGAGATGAGGATAATCCTGATCAATAAATGCACTAATTAAACAGGGTCTGGTGCAGGTTTGGCACACGGGTTGAAACAAAAGTACTGATTAGATTTAGGATTGGGGTTACATTAGTGTATCCTAAATTCCATTTAAAGGTGTGAAAGGAAGTAGTTCCGTATGAGGCTCAGCTGGTTGGTAAAGAGTCATCATTATGCAGCATTAGAGACAGAATTGAGAGCTGCAAACACTCACTCAAACACAACTGATCAGTTTAGACCCAAATGCTGTTAATTTTCATTCACCCATCTTCTGTTTGTGAACAAGTGGCAGCAAACAAATCCTGTCAGTGGAGTTGCTGTTGCTTTCTGTTGGCCTAATAAAAGCAATACAAACACATTTATTGCACTGAGACCTTGAGACACTTATACTGTGCTCCACAACAAAGATAGTGTCTATAAAGCATTTCAAAGGTAGGAAATGTTGCCAAATGGATCCCAAGATGTCCATTTTGGTCCAGACCCATCTGGTCAGGAAAGAGTTTAACAGTGAGGCTGTCTGTAAAACTAGAAAGCACTCAGAGATCTTACCAATGGTAGTTCTGCCGAGGTCGTACGGTCCTTTACTATTGTTATTTTAAAGGATCAGTTCACCCAAATTACTTTTTTAAATGTTGTCGTGCACATGTTTAGATGTCTGCCACATACAGTGGAGGTGAATGGGATCAGTGTCCTTGTTGTTTTAAATAGTCCACACAGCTGAAGTCTGAAGTGGAATTACTTTCAACTGCAGAAATATGAAAACTGTTTACAGTGTGTATTTGAGGTAACCTGACCCTTTTAATCATAGAAATATGCTTATGCTTAAGTATTATTGCTCATCAGATAATATCAAAAATAAAGTATTGGTGTTGCAATGCTAAGAAACACTCCAGAAATGACTGTATTCAGGTCCTTGGACATATATCATGCTAAATAACAAGGTATAATTCTACCAAGTATAGTGTTAACTGTGTTCACCATGTTAGTGTTAGCGTGCTGACATTTGCTAATTAGCAGTAAGAGCAGTAGAGGATCACCAGAATCAGTAGCCATGTTTCCATCTAATAGTCAAGCGAATGTAAACCGAACTTTTGTCTAAAAAAAAGTCTCAAGAAAAGGTGAATTAGATGCGTGTCTATCAACCGGTTTGGAGTGAAGAAAGTCTGCTATGCTAAGCAACGTTTCGTCTTCATAAATGTGTTTGAGCTGGGCAAGTTGCTACCAGACATGTTTCTGTGCATTATGAGAATATCTGGGAAAACCCAAACCCTGGAAACAGCTGATCAGGCATGTGAGGTAAATGTTTGCTATGTCAGAACTTATTCTGCAAACATGTTTCCAAATACCATTTAGTGCATTAACTCTTTTTCGAAAAAGGCCAAAAAACACCAAAAACACGACTACTAGGATTGATCCTCTGTGGACCATGAATGTCTGTTCAAATGTAAGCTTTATCCATCCATTTAGTTATTAGATATTTCAGTCTGGACCAAAGTGACCGACTGACGTGGTCATCCCTAGCGCCATGCCACCAGCCCGACTAAACATCAAGGGTCCTCAGACCAACACAAACCAAAAGGACTAGACTGGATTTGCTTAGTGTAAGTCAATAGCAAAGTTATATTTGCAAGTGGAGTAACGTGTGAATGTGTCAGCTCATCTGGTTTAACTTTCCCCAAACCACCTTGTGAATCTGTTGTTCCCTGAACTCGCCGTGTACGAGTGAAGATGAAGAGCCTGTTGGCGTGTGCTGCTTGTCGAGCATCTCTTCAAAGCTTGTAGCGCCTGTGTGGCTCCTGCATTCTGCTTCCATCAGTCTCTGCCACAAGTTAAGACATTTGTTCATCCCTGACTGCCACATTCTCACACAGTCGGTCGCCATGAAGGAATATGATTTTCAAACAGTGTGTGTCCATGCATGTGTGTGTGAGCAGGGGGAGCAGGGCGGTAACGCTTTGGCTCCTCCAGCCTTAAACTGAGCCAAAGTATGAGGGACTGTCTTCAGCATTTCTGTGGGGAGGATTCCTAAAATCTGAGAACAAACTCTGCAGGAAGGTGATTCTTGGAATAAAGAGGAGATGAGACAAGGTGAGGAGAAGAAAACAAGGGAAGGAGAGGAAAAGGATGAAGGAGAAGAAACAAGGTGAGAAGAGGAAAACCAGAAAAGGAAACCTGAGGAACCATGAAGAGGAAAGAAAACAAGTGAAGGAGAGGAAACAAGGTGAGGACAGGAAAATAAGAAAAGAAAACAAGTGAAGGAGAGGGGGGAAAAATTAAGGAGAGGAAACAAGGTGAGAAGAGGAAAACAAGAAAAGGAAACAAGAGGAACCTTGAAAAGGAAAGAAAACAAGTGAAGGAGAGGAAAAATGAAGGAGAGGAAACAAGGTGAGAAGAGGAAAACAAGAAAAGGAAAGAAAACAAGTGAAGGAGAGGAAAAAATGAAGGAGAGGAAACAAGGTGAGAAGAGGAAAACAAGAAAAGGAAACCTGAGGAACCATGAAGAGGAAAGAAAACAAGTGAAGGAGAGGAAACAAGAAAAGGAAACAAGGTGAGGAGAGGAAAATAAGAAAAAGGAAACAAGAGGAAAGAAAACAAGTGAAGCAGAAGGGAAAAAATGAAGGAGAGGAAACAAGGTGAGAAGAGGAAAACAAGAAAAGGAAACAAGAGGAACCTTGAAAAGGAAAGAAAACAAGTGAAGCAGAGGGGAAAAAATGAAGGAGAGGAAACAAGATGAGAAGAGGAAAACAAGAAAAGGAAACCTGAGGAACCATGAAGAGGAAAGAAAACAAGTGAAGGAGAGGAAACAAGGTGAGATGAGGAAAACAAGAAAAGGAAACCCGAGGAACCATGAAGAGGAAAGAAAACAAGTGAAGGAGAGGAAAAAATGAAGGAGAGGAAACAAGGTGAGAAGAGGAAAACAAGAAAAGGAAACAAGAGGAACCATGAAGAGGAAAGAAAACAAGTGAAGGAGAGGAAACAAGGTGAGAAGAGGAAAACAAGAAAAGGAAACAAGAGGAACCATGAAGAGGAAAGAAAACAAGTGAAGGAGAGGAAACAAGGTGAGAAGAGGAAAACAAGAAAAGGAAACAAGAGGAACCATGAAGAGGAAAGAAAACAAGTGAAGGAGAGAAAACAAAGGAGAAGAAAGGAGAGGAGAGAGACAAGCAGGCGAGAGGAAACACAGGGACAAAATAAGGAAAGAACAAGTGAAGAAAAGGAAACATGGAGAGCACTCAAGGAGAAGAAATGAGAAAGACGGGAAAAGAAGAGGAAACAAGGAAAGAAAAATAAGCAGAGGAAAGGGAGCAAGAGAGAAAACAGAAGGGAGGGAGGAGCAGAGGAGAAAGGAAACTAGAAAAGAGGAGACAAGAAGAGGGGAGGAGACAAAAGTAGACAAGTAGTCCAGTATTATCCAGGGCACAGCTGACATTATGCTTCCCTCTTGCTCGCTCGGCCGCCCTCTCTCTCCACACCACTCGTCTCCAATCTGCTGTTAGTTTGTTCTGCTAACAAACCTCATTTGCTGCTCCGTCCCTCCGGACAGGATCTTGAATAATGACAGAATAAAGATGGATAATACCCTCCAACATGCACGAGCACGCGGCCGGGCGTGTCCTCGGCCGCTCCGTGGACACCTTTCTGCTCGGTTTACTTCCTGATGCAAGGACACAACAAGAGCGCCGCCGGTCCGTCTGAAAATGTGTCTGGTACACGTGTGGCGTTCAGGCTTCTTGTCACATACAGATCCTCCCGACAAATCCACGAGGCAGAAACACAGTAGATAGAGAGTTCAAATGGATTCATCCAGCATGTGACAGATACTGGAAATGGATTTCAGGGCCTGTCAAAACAAACAATGCTTTTCTGCTTGAAGCTCATAGAAAGACAGAGCCAGAGGGGGGATTGGAGATGGATGGAGGATAGTGCTGAGCCCCCTCCCTCAGCAGCAACTTCAACTCTGCTCGTAATGCATATACAAGCAGGCGGACGCACACATGTGAGAAATGTATGCAAGCACACAGCGCGATAAACAAAAGCACTTGTTGATTATCCCGCAGTTTCATGTTATGTCACTCTTGTGTCCAGTCGTCCGTGACCTCTGCAGCTCCATGTCGACTCTGTGTTCCCGCTGCACTACATGCTGGAAAGGCACCAGTCCGCTGGGGATCTGTCTTACCACAGTTTGAATGAGTGTTAAACTACAAAGTGGTACAACTGGGCTTCTTCAGAACGCTTACAGTCAAATAAAAAGCCGGTGTCTGGCTGTTATCTTTGACACAAATTGAGAAGTGGACATTCTCTACATTCCTCTTTCTTTCAGCGCCACTAATCAAAAGTGTATAAAATGTGTTGTTCAGCAGCTCTACGTAGCTTTTTTAGCCTCTTTTTGCTCGTAGTTTCAGGTGTGAAACAAGTGGGACAATATCTGTATCATAAAATATGGAGGGGGGATCACAAAAATAAAAAGGATAGCTCTACACTTCCACACAACCAATCTGTCACACATAACGATTATAGATTTTGTTGGTATGATTATTGTCCGAGGAATAATTACAGTTAGTAATTTCAAAACACTGTTGATTTTTAAGATTTATTGACATTAAACAATTATATTTCTATAATATTTAAGTAGCCTATTATTATTAATATAAGACGAATATTAACTTTATTTATCCCACAGGGGAAATTGTTATTAAGGAGTGGAATAAACTGAACTGTTATTGTCATCAACTCTCCATAATGTGAAAAATTCATTGTGACCTTAGGAAACCATGTCTATTATTAAGTTTTAGTAAAAATAATGAAAATGAGAACATCTCTCCTGCAGTGTTATTAATAACTAAAATGCAGTTAATTTGTATAGTCCTGAAAGTATATAAGCTCCTGATACTATGTTAGTGTTTTACACCTGGAAACATTTTCTCAACTCAGACAGGAGGAGGCAACGAAAAGCTCCCACATTTGCCGACTTCAGCCATTTCTTTATTGGTGAAAATAAAGCTTCACTGTTTGGTCCCGCTGCCATAGTTTAGCCAGTGAACAGTAGTAGCGTCCATGTCTCTGATAAGCACGGCACTTTAAGCTGGTGCACCGCTCCTGTAACTTTAGTTTCATTCTGTGCAACAGAAACACTCGGTGTAGCGGAACCATGGCGTTTTAAAGCGTGGTTAAAAGTGAAATCAGTTCATCACTCCACCTAGCAATGGCTGTTCCTTGTATACTTATTTATATATTATATTTACTTTATTTGTGACAGTTCCTTAAAGCTTCCAGAACCAAAGATTTCACAGGATCCATTTTGCTGTGCTACTTTCTGGTGAAACCGGGTCATAATAACACACTTCTCTACTGCACACATGCAGACTGAGTGGTGTGGAAAATGTAGGATGTAGAGCGTCTGTCAAAACATTAATTTTATGTCCAGGTTGTAATTGTTCTTTACACGGCGTTGATGATTCACAGCTGTACTTACCTCTGAAAACAGGTGTCCTTACAGTCCATTTGTAAATGTCTAAATGATATTAAGTGTTGGATGGCAATAAACTTTATCCAACTAAATGAAAATAAGACAGAAGCAATATTATTTATTATCGAAAAATCTGGGCTCAAATTGATTACTGCAATTCCCTGTACTCCGGCATCTGTCACTCGTCATTATCACGCTTGTTAATAATGCAGCTGCTAGATTGTGGACTGGTACAAGGAAGAGGGACCATATCTCCCCACTATTGGCTGCTCTTCACTGGTTACCAGTCAAATATAGAGTCGATTTTAAGGTGCTGTTAATTGTTTTTAAGCTTTACATGGACTGGCTCCATCTTATATTTCAGACCTCCTAATGTTTTATCGCTCTTCCAGACCCCTCAGATCATCCAACCTTTTAGCCGTCCCACAGTCTCGTATGAAAACAAAGGGTGACCGTGCCTTTTCAGCTGTGGCCCGAGACTGTGGAATAAACTACCCCTGATTATCAGATCATCCCCCACCATCGACACTTTTAAGTCTCGTCTGAAAACATTTTTATTCTTTGGCGCTTGAGTCTGTTTAGGGGCACCTGCGCTTAACTGTTTCTATCTTTATTGCTGTATGTCATCAATTGTTTGGCCTGTTTTAATTTTATTTAACCTTTATTTAACCAGGAAGTCCCATTGAGATTCAGAATCTCTTTTACAAGAGAGACCTGGCCAAGGTAGCAGCCAAATCACAACGAATGCATACATAATAAACACCAATAGATCTGGTTTAAATTTTTATTTCTTTATTTCTTCTACCGTGCAACTTTGTTCAGCACTTTGGTCAACTGTGGTTGTTTTTAAATGTGCTCTATAAATAAAACCTTTTCACTTGACTGAAGAAAACTGTGCACTCACCACATAATTCTTGCAATTAAGGTTTCTGACATCCAATCATGGGCTGAGCTTTGATGGCCATTGTTGTACCTCAAAGCAGGGTTAGGGTTTCTGGTATAAATAGGCTGTATAACATATTTCTCTACTGCATACTTGTCCAAACCTGTCAGAATTTCTCAACAGTCAAAGGACAACACATGCAGACACTCTGAATGGTGTGGAAATGTATTATGTAGAACGTCTGTGTCAAAACATAAATTTTATGTCCAGGTTGTAACTATACTTTCCACTAAAGAAAACTGCACTCACCACATAATTCTTGCAATTAAGGTTTTTGACATCCAATCATGAGCTGAGCTTTGACGGCCATTGTTGCACCTCTAAGCACCAATAACACACAAATTCAACCAGTTTCTCATTCTCACCTAATTCTAGTCAAGTCGAGTGAGACAGTCGCCTTACAGGGATACTATTATGTGCACAGGTGCAACTCCAGTGAAGTAGTCATTAAATCAGTCGGTTTAACATAAAATAAATGATACAAAACAATAACAACATTAGTAAAGATGTTCAAAGCATCAACAGACTTTATTACAAGGTATAAGCTCTAAACCTCGATGTTTCCTTCTGGAATGACAGCTGTTACGACGTCCTCGCAGCGCAGCGTGAGGAAAACACTGACCAATTTCAGTTCATTTTAGATCTTCCAGCTGCAGTGAGCAGAGCGGTTGTTTAGTACCTATTTCAGTGACATTTTGCAGGTAAACCACATCTCTAAACTGCTGTTCAAAATCATGTCCAAACCCTCCTGCAAAAGATTATAGAAAATACTATAACACACTATACAAAATATTATAGGAAACTACCTTGTTATTTTCTCTTAATGCAGAGCTATTCAGCCGTAAAGCATATTTTAATTGCTTCACATATTTAATGCAGGCGTGTGCACTGTATGCATAATGAAAGGAAAAGAATACAATTAAAATAAGTATTGGATTATAAAATGTGTTCAGGACATCCAGAAGTAAATGTCTCACACTCATACACATTATAATCCAAGGTTCTTAAGTTCCATATCAAACGTTGAACATGATTAAAACCGGGATAAATCCTAACACGTACACTAATTTACATGCAAAGGTCCTAATGACAGAATGTGTTGTTTAAATGTAAATGTAGAATAATAAACCAGCCTGGCCTAGGGCACCAAAATGTCCAGACGCGACCCCTCACTCAGCTTAGAGGGACGTGGTCCAAGTGGATCCTGCACACAGTGACAACACATGACCGATAATAGATGCATGATCCTCGATGTTGTGGCTCACTGGGCCAGGGACTCATGACACAGAGGAAGACCGAGAGCCAAAGATCTATCCACATTGCTGTGGCCGAGTCACATTCACTCTGCTTGTACTGAAAAACATGCAAATCAATGGGCTCACTGGCTAATTAGACGCCAGACGGAGCACTGCACTGACAGTAATTAGACAGCGGGAGTAATGGCAGATTATTTTGAAACGTTTGTTGCATGTGTTGAATATTTAGAATTTAAAATTCAATAAAAGCTAAAAAGTGTACTTTTGGCTAAATGGAAGTTATCAGTCTATTGATGTTATTATATTTGTTTGATTCCAGTGAATGTAGACTGAATCATAAATGTGTTGGCTAAACTGATACACATGTACATGATTACTATGTAAAGATGAATTCTTATAGAGTAAAGCTGCACAAAATGTGGTGATGTTGTTGGTGTGCTCCAATACACTGTTTGCCGTCACGTGACTCAGATGACGCTCAACATTCAGAACAAAGCAGCAAGTGCTGAAGGCTGAATGGATGAGATGGAGGAAAGCCTGAACTGTGCAAGTTTACTCCCCTAGTGTTCTCCCCAGCAACGTGC